AAGGTTGTAAAGCTATACAGGGGCAGGGAGGAGGAAGACCAGTGGTATGACGCAAGGGAGAACTTTAGCGACGAGGACGAACAGTGGTACGACGTCAACTCGGAAGAGGACCTGAAACCCATCCTAACCAAGCGTGGTATGAAAAAGAAGGTAAAAAAGTACGTCATCAATCCTAACGGATCGTATGACCCGATCCACTTCCTGGATATCACAAAGGACGAGGTTGAGGCGCTCGTAAATTCCGAAACGGAACCAAGAAACGTAAGCATGTCCCTAGCATGCGAAATGGTAAGAAACGATCCGAAAACTGAGGAAGAAGTATCCGCCATCGCACACTTCAGATCAAAACCCACAAACTCACCGGTATAGATGACACGGAAGAGTCTTTTAACATCATGAAGGAAAAAATGCTAAAATCCTTTTCAGAATACCAGAAGCGTGGTAGTGGGTGGAGGCTTCGGGTGGTAGATCTGCTCGAAATCCATATCTGAGGATACCAACCGCTAAGGGGAAAGGGTTATGTGTCATTATCTATGTCAATCAAGTAAAAGAAAGCGATCATCAACATGAAGAACGATGACGATGAATGCTTCAAGTGGGCTGTGACCCGCGCACTGAATCCCACCAACACCCATCCGGAAAGAATTTCAATGGAACTCAAGGAACACTCTAGAAAGCTAGACTGGGAAGGAACCGAGTTGCCAACACCCCTAAACAATATCAAAAAGTTTGAAAAGAACAACAATATCGGTGTTAACGTGTTCGGTCTTGACGGATGTTATAAGGTATGTCCCTTACGAATATCGGATCCGGTAATACCGATTCCACAAACCTTTTCCTGAGGAAGAACCACTATAGTGTTATCAAGGATATGTCAAGACTCGTAGGCTCACAGATCAATGGAAAGAAGAACAAAAAACACATCTGCAACCGTTGCCTTAACGCATTCGGATCAGGCGAACTCTTGGAAAGACATCTGGAGTTATGTTCAGACAACAACTATCAGAGGCATGAGTATCCAGAACCCGGTACTACTACGGAGTTTAAAAATTATGAAAGAACACAAACCGTTCCGTTTGTCATCTATGCGGACTTCGAATGCTACATCGAAGGGATGGACACGGTTGAGCAGAACCTTAACAGATCAAGTACCACTCAATACCAAAAGCACAGCCCCAGTGGATTCTGTTACTACGTCAAGTGTTTCAACAATTCCTTTTACAAACCCAAGCTGGTACGCTATACCCAACAACATGAGGGAGAAGACGTTGCCAAAAGTTTGTGCATATGTTGGAAGAGGAAGTCTATGATATATACAACAGGTTTAAATTCAAGGAATCTATTGAGATGCTTCCCGGAGATATCGAAAATTATGAAAAGGCGACTGTCTGTTATGCATGTAGAAAAGAATTCACTACAGAAGACCATAAGTTTAGGGATCACTGTCACTATACTGGAGCATATAGGGGTGCGGCACATAATACGTGTAATTTAAGAATGAGGAAACCAAGATTCATCCCGGTACTTTTTCATAACCTTGAAGGATACGATGCTCATCTATTCATCAAAAACCTTGGGGTAGGTAGCGGAGACATTAAATGTATTCCTAAAACGGAGGAGAAGTACATTTCCTTTACTAAGGAAATAGAGGTCTGTAAATTTAACGATGAGAACGGAAAGGAAAAGAAGGTTAAGGTTATAAGAGAGCTAAGGTTCCTCGACTCATTTAAGTTCATGGCAAGCTCCCTGGACAAGCTCGTCAAGGGTTTGGGTAGGGACGACTTCAGAAATTTGGATCTGATGTCAAAACGTAATACCAAAGAACAGAAAGAACTGCTTAAACAGAAGGGAGTTTACCCTTACGAATATATGGATGGTTTTGAGAGGCTTGAAGAAACTTCGCTCGTCGAAGGAAAAATTCTTCAGCAAGCTAAGCAACGAAAACATCAGCGACACGGATTATGAAAGAGCCTGTACCGTATGGAATACCTTCAACATGAAGACCATGAGGAACTACCACGATCTGTACTTGAATACGGATGTCCTTCTTCTAGCAGATGTGATGGAAAACTTCAGAAAGGTTTGTAAGACCAACTACGGGTTGGATCCTATGTGGTACTATACAGCACCCGGGCTGGCATGGGACGTTGCGCTGAAGTTAACCGGTGTGGAGCTGGACCTCATCTCCGATCCGGATATGTACCTATTCATCGAAAAGGGTATTCGAGGCGGGATCAGCACCATTACCAAAAGGTATGCCAAAGCAAACAATAAGTATATTGAACTCTCAAAGGGCCTAACCGGGTTGGAAAGGTTCAAAAAGTGGATGGGAAAAAAGTTTTCCGGTTTATCAGCCGTAATCATATCTATGGTCGGCATGATTATTTCAATCATTACCGGTACAAAACTGGTGGTCGACCGTAACGGTGAAGAGCGGTCTACATACAATCCCTATATGGACGCGAACAACCTATACGGATGGGCAATGAGTCAACCTCTACTCATCAGGGACTTCAAATGGATGAATGATGAAGAACTGAAGAAGTGGACGGACTACAGCTGCATCCTCGAAGTGGATCTGGAATACCCGACGAACTACAGACATAACGAATACCCTCTTGCACCTGAAAGAATAATGGTTAAAAAGGTGGCGAAAAGCTAATTCCGAATCTTAACAGTAAGCAAAAATACGTCCTTCACCATAAGAACCTAGAACAGTATTTAAGCCTGGGTTAAAACTCACTAAGATCCGCCGTGGAGTGAAATTCTACGAAAATTCCTGCATGAAGGAGTATATTCAGCTCAACACGGACCTGCGCACCAAATGTACTACAGACTTCGAGAAGGACTTTTTTAAGCTTATGAACAACTCGGTATTTGGAAAGACGATGGAGAACGTCAGGAATAGGGTTGACATCAGACTCGTCAACGACGAGAAGAAGTGGAACAAGCTGGCTCAAAAGCACAACTTTAAATCCGCTACCATCTTCTCCGAAAACCTTGTAGCAGTTCACATGAGGAAGACATCCGTAAAACTGAATAAACCTATCTACTTAGGGATGAGCATCCTTGACATCAGTAAGACACTCATGTACGACTTCCACTACAATTACATTAATCCAAAGTATGGGGAGATGCCAGGCTCCTATTCACAGACACAGACTCCCTGTGTTATGAAATTTATACCGAAGATTTCTTCAAGGATATATCCGACGATGTCCACGAAAGATTCGACACCAGCAATCCGATGGCTACGGCTAGTTTTAGAATTCCTTTCGGATTACTAGGTACTCCAAGACTGTCACCTGTAAATTTTTTGCTTACCACTGACACAGCGACTGCTCCGAGTGTAATAAGTCCGGCTTCGAAGGCTTCGTTCATAAAGTCCTTCCTATCTCCCATGCTTTATTATATAGTAATATTATTTTTTTAGTCTTCTTCACCGAATTCGTAGGTATTCTGATGGTTGTGTGGTTTTGGGGGTTTGTCCATTGAGGCAATTGTTACCATGTTGTCCCCGAGGTGGAACCCAACTCCCAATAACCCCAGGACTGGCTCCGGTGTGAGACCGCTGTTTACCGCAATTGCAGCGCTTGCGCGGAGTACGATGAATTCGTTTGTGTTACTCATTTATTATATAGTGTTTTTATTTTTTTCTTCTTTTGTATTCATTGTGCAGGAAGTAGGTCAGTGCCAGAGCTAAAATCCAGAGATTCTTCGCCAGGAACGCAATCCCCTTTTCTCCCCATGACAGAACCTTAGCGACGAGGTTTAGTACGGATGCTAGCACGGGTCCAATCTTTCCGGCTAGGTTTGCCATTGCTTTTTCGAATTTGCTTGTTGCTCTTGATCCCTTTTTTGCTACGCTTCTAACCCCCATAATAATCGTGGTGATGATACCCGCCACAGATATCGCTACGGCTGATATTCCAAATATGTTTTCTTTTGCCCATTTCTTAAATCTTTCGAACCTTGTAAGATCGTTTATTTCTACCTCTTCTTCCACGATGGACATGGCTTTCGGTCCTTTTGGTCGTTCGTTTGATCTTAACCTTATTTCATCCGCTTTCAATTCTGCCATGTCTGCCATTGCTTCATACAGGAGAGCCTTCTGTTCACGTCCTGCAGTTCGTTCGGTTTCAGCCAGTTCTTTCCAGTGATTTTTTTCTACTTCAAGGTACTCAATTTTTTGCTTATCTGAGTTTCCTTTTACGTTCAGGATATCTCTCAGTTCCCTTAGTTCGTTTTCCATTATAACTGTACTATTACCGTTAGCTTCGCTTTGACTGGATAATTCATCATCCATTCTTTCAACGATATTTTCCAGTACGTTATCCACAAGTTCCTGAGGAGCATCCAGGTTTTGTTGTTCGAGTTGTTCCTCCACTAAGGCTGCAGGTGTTTTCGAATGCTCTATTTTAGCTTTCCTAATCAGTTCTTTGTTTTCGTTTACGACGGATTCCTTGTTCTTGTCCGCGGAGTATATCATTTTACCATTTTTCGAGATAATGATCTTGACATCTTTGAATGTAGCACCGTTAATTTTTGTTCCGAACTTATTTACGATTAGCTTCATTTTGTCAAAGATGATGGTGGAAGATGGACCGTCTCCCTGATTGATATTTACTCCAAGTTCCTTTTTGAGGAAATCCTTTTTTATCCTGCGCATAAGCCCGTTTCATTACCCCAGCATCACGCCTGATGTTCGGTGTGGAACCGCTAGGTCTTGATCCATCGACGTCCGGATTGAATCCGACGGGAATTAATATACTTTCGTCCCGTCTTCCGTCGTCGTCAATGAAACTTGTTTCCTCCTCCGCCGTTTCAGCTTCTTCGGCTTCGCGGTCGTCAACGCGGTTTGTTTCATCGAGTTCAATGTCCGCCATTTATTATATATCCTTAATATTTTCTTCCGGAATCCAGGAATTGTGTTTACTATCGTATCCTAACCACTTGACCAGTACCATACCCTTTCTTCTTCTCAGAATTTTCTCCACCCTATATACATCGTCCTTTTTGTCCACAGCGGATAGTTCCTCTTCGTAAAACTTTCCGATGATCGGTTCTCCGTTATGACTTTCTATTTCGTACATGTTAGGATATCCCCTGAATACTTTTACAACTTTGAATATCTCTTCCGTAAAGTTTGCTTCGTATCCCTTGGTAAAGATATTTTTATACTTTGTTATTCGGACCGTATCATCAACCCTAAACTTAGGAAATGGAAATTCCCCTAATCCGTAACAGTATAGCGTAATCCATACCTGGTCCTTGTTTGACTTGCTTACGTCGGCAGGTTTCACTAGTATACTGCTGTGTTTGGTATGATTGTAGTTATTCGTGAGTTCGTCTAGGGCGTCGACCCAATTGTAAGTTCCTTTGCTGTAGAAATACTTCCACATCATTATCTTCAAAGTCCTCTTAAATCTCTCAACGATAGCTGCCTTTCTGTCGGAGTTTGTGGAAAAATAGCGGCCGTCGTGTTTTTGTAAGAGGTCCCTAACACCAACATTGTAGAACTCCTTTCTCTCGTCGAACTGAGCAACTTCCGGGTATTTTCCGAACCTTTTCTTGAATTCCTCCAATAATAAGTTCACAGCCCTCGTCATGTTTTTCGTATCTTTTCTGTAGACGGGAATAGCAAATCCTTAACGGCTCAGGACATCTACAGCTATTAGTATTGTTACGAGCCGGTCCTTACTATTTTATTTGGCCGCGCTTTTAGTTCTATTCGCTCTCAACAAAGATTGTGAAACCAATTACTTTCAATGATATATTTATTTCTTACTTATATACTACTCAAATCTCAATAATTAGCGTCTCTATAACTTTTACTTATATAATATAATTCTTAATAATAATGTACTGTTCAAACTTATCTCTTTTCACGACTGACTACAGCTCTTCAATTCCTGACAATTCTTTATCTTTACTATATCTTCGCCTTCGTATAATCCTTTTAAATCTTTCTTTATTGACTTGTAATTTCTATATATCTTCACAGCGATGTTATTCAGGCTTTCGCCTTATGAATAATGCATGAATTGTCTAGTTGTGCTCAGGCTTTTATACGCTCTGCTATAGGGGAAGAAACTACAAAACTACGACTCATTTCCCCTACGCAATACAGTTCGTTGAAGCAAGTCTCAGTAACCACAAATCGGCCAACGCCAAACCGAGTCATGTCCGCTACGTTAGTTGTGGGACATCTCAATCTTTAAAACTATTTGCTTACTCATGCCTGTAAGCTATTCGGTTAATAATATGAATATAAAGTATAAGCTATATAGTATAATAGAATAGTATGTAAAATTACATGATATAAGCATTATCATGTAACACCCTCCCCCTTGAAAGAAAGAAAGTTTCTTAACTTTCTTTTCAATGTAGCGTGTTCGTCAAGTGTTCATGGCCTTGAAAGACAATCAGCGATCAAGTTGTCTTGTCCTTTTATGTGTTGTATGTGCATGTTGTATTCCGATAATATCAAGCTCCATCGCAACAAACGTTGATTCTTGTCCTTCATTCGGTGGATGAAAACCAGTGGATTGTGATCACTGAATACTTCGATGGGAACTCCGGCTGAAGAAACATACACGTCAAAATGTTGAAGGGCGAGGATAAGGGCAAGACATTCTTTTTCAACTGTGGAATAATTGCGTTGATGGTGGTTAAACTTGCGGGAAAAATAAGCTACCGGATGGTCGATTCCATCGTCGTCCTCTTGTAATAATATTGCTCCGGCAGCGATGTCACTTGCATCTACAGCTAGTTTAAAGGGTCGGCTGAAGTCTGGGGCTGACAAAACAGGAGCACGTTGCAACATTGCCTTGAGTTGCTCAAAAGCAAACTGGCATTGTTCAGTCCAATGAAACTTGGCGTTCTTTTGCAGCAACCGAGTTAAAGGCTCCGTGATAGCAGAAAAATTTGGGCAAAACTTTCGGTAATAACCTGCCATACCGAGAAAACGCATCACGTGTTTTTTCGACGCCGGTTGAGGAAACATCGAGATGGCTTCGACCTTTGCTTCGACAGGCTTCACTTGACCTTGCCCAACGATATGTCCTAAGTAGGTGACATGACCACATCCAAACTCACTCTTTAATAAATTGATCGTTAGCTTCGCGTCGCTGAGTCGTGTAAAGAATTTCCGCATAATCTTCAAATGTTCTTCCCACGTATCACTGTATATTATTACGTCGTCAATGTAACCTTCGCAGCCTTCGATCTCCGCGATAACATTATTTCTCAGCCGTTGGAAGGTCGCTGGCGAATTACGCATGCCAAAAGGCATCACTTTATATTGGTAGAGACCTTTCGGAGTCACGAATGCTGAGACCTCTTTCGCACGTTTAGTAAGTGGAATCTGCCAGAAACCTTTCAATAAATCAAACTTGGAGACGTATTTTGCAGTTCCAGTTTTGTCAATACAATCATCAATCCGCGGAATGGGATACGTATCCGCCTTCGTCATATTATTAAGTTTTCTATAGTCCGTGCACATCCTATAACTACCATCAGGTTTGGGAACTAACAAACAAGGTGAACTCCAGCTACTTTGGCTTGGTTCGATGAAATCATTCTCGAGGAGGTACTTTAATCTTTAATCTTTAATAAAATTATTTAAACCGGTAGCCTGTTCAGCAGATAATATTTACAGCGCTGGTTTTCAAAGGGCCGTGTGTTTACAACAATAATATAAAAAGGACAAAAAGAATATAACTATTTACAATGAATTGATACGGATGAATTAAGTAATTGCCGTTTAAACGACAAAGTTGAAAGATTGTCATAATTTTCAATAGTTTCACTTGGAAGTTCGTTCCAGGACTTAGCAGCTCTATACGAAAAACTTCGTTTGAGAAAATTTGTCTTAGGTTTGGGTAGGTTCAATTTAATTTGATTGCTTCTTAGATTGTAATTGTCATTTTGACTTACTGAAAACAATTTTTCAAGGTATCGAGGTAATCGACCAGTTAGTACTTTAAATGTCATTATTAACTGTCGTTGTTTTAGAAGTTCTTCTATTGGAAGCCAATTAAGACTATCTAGCGTTTGCATGGAACGAACCTCATATGTGTCCCCTGTTATCACACGCGCTGCTCTCTTCTGCAGTATAAACAATTTATCAATTATCGAACAATTCTCGATTTCTGTACTCGATTTCTGCTTCGAGGTGTTTTTGTTTCGTTGGGTTTAGACGGTATGGGTGTTGTTTGATAGGTGGCGCATCGTTGATCTCTACGTCGTGGGCAATATGGTCTGTCCTGGAGGGTACGTCTGGAAATAAGCATTGGTATTCTTGTACTAAAACTTCGATGTCTCTTCGTTGAGATTCACTTAGGTGGCTTAACTTTGTATCCATATCGCGAAGAACATCAGAGTTATGGAGTTTAGTTGACTCAGACAGATCGAAGAGTTCGGTTGTATCTTCTATATTATTATTTGCTACATCTATGACGTTAACTACCTGCACACCATTCTTTCTCTCATAATATGATTTTAGCATATTTACATGACATAACTGCTTATTCTTACGTCTATCGGGGGTAACTATGACATAATTTAAATCATTCTCTTTCTTTTCTACGAGGTTGGGGCCAAAATACCTAGCATGCAAGGGTGTTCCAGGGACCGGAAGAAAGGCAAGTACTTTGTCGCCGGGTTGAAAACTTTGCGTTACGGTAGTTTTGTCATACTTTTCCTTCATGCATTTTTGGGCCGACTTAAGATTTTCTCTAGCCAAATCGCATGCTTTTGTGAGTTTCGTTCGGAAATTTGAAACATATTCTAAAAGATTTAAAGAACTGTCGTCGTCGACAAGCAACTTCTCCTTCAGGAGTTTAAGTGGTCCCCTAACGGTATGTCCGAAAACAAGCTCAAACGGAGTAAAGCCTAAAGATTCTTGAACTGAATCGCGTGCAGCAAATAAAAGTAAATGAATTCCTTCGTCCCAACTTTTCTCGGTGTCCTGGCAATACATCCGAATCATGTTTTTCAATGTTTGGTGAAATCGCTCTAATGCTCCTTGACTTTCCGGATGATAAGCGCTTGATCTAAACTGTTTGATGCCTAGTTCCTGCATTACTTGCTGAAATAAGCCCGACATAAAATTCGATCCTTGGTCCGACTGAATGGATTTTGGAAGTCCAAATAGAGTAAAAAATTTTGTAAGCGCTTGAACAATAGTTTTCGCCTTAATATTGCTTAAAGGTATAGCTTCTGGAAATCGAGTCGAAACACACATAATGGTTAGGAGATATTGGTTTCCTTTTCGAGTTTTAGGCAGTGGTCCGACACAATCAATCATGACTCTACTAAACGGTTCTTCAAAAGCCGGAATTGGTTTTAATGGTGCTTTAGGAATTACTTGATTTGGTTTTCCAACAATTTGGCATGTGTGACAAGTTTTGCAAAATTGAACGACGTCTTTTCGAACCCCAGGCCAATAGAAATGGGTAGTGACTTTTTGTAACGTTTTGTTTATTCCCAAATGACCCGAAAGTGGAGTGTCATGCGCCAAACTAAGAATTTCGGATTGATAAGACTTCGGAATTATAATTTGATATCGAAAAGCCCATTCGTCATCGGCAGAAACATCAGGGGGTCGCCATTTCCTCATTAACACTCCGTTTTTAATAAAATAGCACACAGGACCGCCTGTGGCATCCATCTCGTCTGAAGACTTTTGGTAAAGCGCAGAAATCTCAGGATCATTTTGTTGCTCTC